TGATAACTCACCCCAGGCTGTAGCCCTCACCCTGTCCGACCCGCGTTCCGGAACTTCCCCTGCTCGGTCTCTACAACCAGCCGCCTTCTGTCACTTGGTTCCCGTCTCCTTTTTATTTTTGCGTAGAAGCACTGGGGTACAGCCAGAAGCTTGGTGGGGCGGGGGGGGACGGTGAGAGGATTCATCAGACACAGAATGGGGAGCAGAACAGGCGGATCGACTGAAATCCACTGCTGAGAGGGCGCCGTGGGGACAGAGGTCTCTGCGCCCTGGGGGTCCCTCCCTGGAGGGGACAGAACTCAGGCCACAGTGGCTGGCGACATCCTGACAGCGCCCCCAGGGCCCCCCGCTTCCTCCTGGGACCCCCGCCCAGTTTCTTCCCTTCCCCTAGGAAATTCAGTTCTCTTCACAGCCCAACTTTTCCCTCTCTGCAGGTGACAGACCTCAGCCTTCCCCGCTCCCTTTCAAGGCCTCGGAGTGGTCCCCTTTAGGCACTTTCCCAGCAGCTCAGAGTAAAGGTATCCAACACCAAGTTCTTTATCTTTGCCAGCACACCAACTCCCCTGCCTGGCACCACCACTCTGTGAAGGCCCAAAGCCCCAGGTCATGTTCTGGAGGCCGGAAACAGACATCACCTGTGGGCCGCGGCAGACACCCACGCCCAGTTCAGAGATTGCAGGGAGCCGGAGGCCAGCAGGAAAGACTGGACTGATCTGCTAGCCGACCCACAGGCGAGGGATCTGAGGAGAACAGCCTTCCCGACGCTGAGCCCGGGGCCCAAGGCGGCACGCGGGTTGCAGCTGGCCAGGCCAGGTGGAGGCTCACAGTGCCCACGGGCGGCCGAGGGCCTAGGCGTTAAGCCTCAGTCCTCGCACCACCGTGGCCTGCGCGGACCCCCGGCCGGCGAGTGACCCGCAGGGCACAGCAGACCTCTGCTGACCAGCCCGCTGCTCCCCTCGGCAGTGGGTTTCAGTAGGCCCGCCTGCTCTGCTCCCCACTCTGTCTTTGGTGAATCCTCCAACGCCCTGCACCTCTGGCCTGAACCCCAGTTCTTGTGTGCATAGATAAAAATAAACCTTAAAAAAAAGCCCACAAGCCCTCGCCCGGCCTTTCAAACGTGGCGCCTGATTCTCTTCCCCGTGAGTGTGGGCGGGATCCTGGGGCCGTGGGAATCCCCGTGGCTGGCTCCTGGTCTCCCGCCTGGACCCTCCCGCCCACGGAGCCCCACGGTGCCCACGCCAGGGGGAGTGGGCTCCCGCCTGCCGCCCGGGGGGAGCCAAACTGGACCCTCCAGCTGCCGCCAGCAGCTTCCCGGCCACTTGTGAGACGCTGAGCCAGGCCCTCCAAGGACAATGTCCCCGAGTCCCTGCCCCACCCAAAGTGCCAACATGAGCTACATTTTGAGACCGCTAAGGTTTAAAGTCATTTATGACCAGGAATGAGACAGTGAGCTACAGTGTCTCGTAAACAAAAGCAATTAACCCTCACAATTCCACAGAGGACGCGGGCGGGTTTCATCTTCCTCTGACAGACGAGCAAACCGAAGCTCAGCGCGGATTTGCTCACTAGCGACTGTGCATTCTCCTCTCAAGAGGGGACCGGGGCCAGCCCGCAGAAACCTCCTTGACCAGCGCAGGGTAACCAGAGCGTGGCAACGCCCAGACGCAGACCGCCCTGACCCGCCGGGCAGGCACACCTGTCCCCACACAGAGGGTGCCCGGAGCTGCAGGCGGCCGCGGCCAGTCACCACGGCGGTCAGCACAGGGTCGCGCCTCCTGCCCGTGGGTGGGCGGGCTGCGGAGGCGGGAACCTTCTAGGAACCCGCACCGCCAGCCCTGGGCGCCCGTGCCAGCAGCCAGCCAGCCACCCGGAGACCCCGTCCATGGTGGGCCGAGAGCCGCGGCCACCTGCTCAGCCAGACGCCTCGCGAGCCTGGCAGGGCGACATGGTGGTCACAGAAGCCCGGCCAAGGCGGCGGGAGAAGCCAGTGTCCCCGCGGCAGGCGCCCACGGGCTTCGGGGAATGAGGGCGGGTGGGGGTGGGCGGGGCTGCCCAGACCAGTGCCCGCTGGGCCCCCGGGGAGGACGGGGCAGGCGAGGGGCAGGAGAAGAACCCCGCGGGGGCAGGACAGCAGGCAGGCGGCGGGCGTGGGCAGGCGGTGGGCGAGGGCCAGGGCCAGGCCGCAACCGGGCGTCCCCGCGGAGGAGATGGGAGCAGCTCTGGAGTCTAAGGGGCTGGCGTGAACCACTTATAATTTCAGGGGGCCGCTCTGGTGCTCTCGTGAGGGGACAAGGTTGGGGACTGGGGTGATGATGACCCGGCCCCATGGTGCGGGAGCAGGGGGTGGAGAGGCGATGAGACTGGAGAGACTTGGAAGGCAAAAACCAGATGGTCTTTCCTGATATGTTGGAAGGGGTGTGGGAAGCGGGAGACAGGTGAGACCCCAATGTTTCCACGTGAGCACCGAGAAGACGGTGTGGCCAGAGGGGAAGGGACAGTGGGAGGCCGACGGGCCTCGGGCTGTTAACTGGGAGCACTGTGCGGACACCAGACGCAGGCGCTCAGGGACAGGTGGGAAATTCTGCCTTCAGAATGGATCCCGGCAGGACAGACACTGTGGACAGCGGAAGGCTGGACGCCATCAGAAGGGGCAGACACGACCAGCCAAAAAAAGGCCAAGGCCCACCCAGGCCTCTCCCGACTCAGTACATCGGAAGGGGAGGGAAAGCCGCTGAAGAAGATGAGGACGGTCAGCACCTGGGAGCGGGGACCAGCGGGGACGAGCGGTCCCGGCCCTCTAGGGGCGGCCCGAGGGCGCGGCACCTGCAGGAAATGTCGGCGGGAAGGATGGGGACTGGACACAGCTACTGGCTGGAAGGCCACGGGCCTGGGGGGCTTCGGCAAGGCCCAAGGGACAGAGAGGGGCAGCAGGAGCCTGCGGGGAAGCCTGGGGGGAGGACTCCCTGCACACGGGGACGGAGGAGGCCGGGGGGGGGTCACGCCCGCACACGGGGATGGAGGAGCACGCGAAACGGGACCACAGAGACAGAATTCGGCAGAATTCAGAATCACCGAGAGGCTCCGCTGGCACGAGTGGCCAGGCCCTGCCAGCGGCCAGAAGGAAGGTGAGTGAGGGGCCCACGAGATAAAGCTGGAGCGACACAGCAGCTGTAGTGTGGACCTCACATGGTTCTAATTCCAACAAAGTCGTAGGAAAAAGATTTAGGGAGGACAGAAATTAAAGCCTAAGGCTGGAGCAAGTAGAGGCTTCTGTGCTGGTGGGAACAGTGAGATTAGGGCCTCCTGGGGGCGCGGGGGTCCTCTCAGCACCAGGAGGCTGTCCCCAGCCCCGCAGCACCAGTGCGACCCCCGGCCAGGGAGGGACCCCCAGCGCAGCAGACCCTCCTGTCTCCCCCTGCTCCCCTCAGCGGCAGGTTTCAGGGGACCTGCCTGTTCTGCTCCCCACCCTGTCTCTGGGGAGTCCTCTAACTCCCGCTCCCCCCACCCCTGCCCTACACCCCAGTTCTCGTATACTTAAATAAATAAAAATAAATCTTTTTTTTGTAAAGTCCTTACCTTTAGGAGTTACATACTGAAATATTTACCAATGAAATGGTTAATGTCTGGAATTACTTCAAAATAAAATAGGAGGGGGCCCTCCCTGATGGTGCAACTGGTTACAGCACCGCACTGTGGAGCTGTCCGCAGCCATCACAGCCGGGGTCCATCCCCGGCCCGGGAGGGACCCCAGGCCCAGCAGACCCCTCCGCCTCCCCGCTGCCCCCTCAGCCGTCCATTTCAGTGGATCCGCCTGCTCTGCTCCCCACCCTGTCTCTGCAGAATCCTCTCACCCCACACCTCTTTACTGTACCCCAGCTCTTGTATGCACAAATAAGTCTTTAAAAATAAATAAACAAAACAGGAGGGGCAGGGACAGCGGTGAGACGACATCGGCCCGGAGCTGATGGCTGCTGGTGCTGGGTGCAGGTTATGGGCATCTCTGCGCTACTCTACCTTTATATGCTGCGTCTTCCAATACAAGGCTAGGAAAGGAAGGGGTGTGGGCCGGGGAGGCCACTCCTCTAAGCCATTCAGGGTCTGAAGGGGAGCAGGGATACAGGCCCTACCCTCCTGCAAGGGCTGGGGCTGGCGGTGAGCACAGACAGGCCACTCGCGCCAGGCTGGGAGGGCGGGTGCGGACCTACTGGGGCCGGAGTGGGGGGTCAGATGATCTGAGGGGCGGGAAGGCTGGGGTGGTGGGGGTGGTGAGGGTGGTGTCCCGTGGAGACAGGGCTTGAGAGAACACTGGAAGAGGGGCCAGGGAGGTGTGTGAGGCCTGACCACATGAGCGGTCTCGCTTATCAGTGCTGCTCCCCACCGCCGTCCCCGCCCCTGGGGACCACCACGTACCTTGGGGACCTCCCCCTTGCTGCCGGGGGGCAGCCGCAGCACCCAGAAGTTCCTGTTCCTCAGCAGGTTCTCCATGTTCTCCAGCCGGCGCTGCAGCAGCCCGTACTCCTGCAGCAGCGTCCCCAGCACGGCCCACTTGCTCTCCATGTGGTTCCCGAACTCCACGGCCGTCTTCTCGCAGTCGGCCAGCTTCTTCTCGGCCGTGCCCGTCCGCCCCTCCAGATTTAGCAGCTGGCTGGCCTGGGCGTCCACCTTCCTCTCCACGGCCTGAATAGCGGCCACCACGGTCCAGAGGGAGATCTCGGCCGTGGGCAGCTGGGGCTCTCTCATCATGCGGTCGGGGAAGACGGGGGCCCTATCTGGGAAGGGCGGGAACTGGAAAGGCATCGGTCGCCGGGCATCCATGTCCCATTCTTGAGCCTGTGTGCAGAGGGAGGAAGTGACCGTTGGGGTGAGACGCTGTGTCAGGCAGGGTGGCCCCAGGGCAGCGGTGACGCGTCCAGCGGCCCTGCGTCTCACCCTTCTGCCCAGCCCCTGCCCAGACAGCGGGCCTGCTCCTGTCCCCAGCAGTAGCTGAGCGGCCAGCACCCGGCCCGGCCACCTGCTGCCTGCGGAGGCAGGCTGGCCATGCATCTGTCCTTTAGCCCTTTGGGGTAGGAACCCTGGCCGAAGAGGTCGCACCCCATGTTCCTTGACTAGAACACCTGCTTTCTTCAAGGGGGTACGACAAACAGCTAGTTTGTTTCCAAGTCAGAATTTTCACCTAACTCGTCAGGCCCTAATCTTCCTGGCAATCTCGAAGCAGGTTCGGACACGATGATTATCTTGGACAAGATAAGAAGTGGGGGTCACTCTACAGCACCAGGCTCCCCTGCCAGAGGGCGCACACAACTCAGGTCAGAGCTGCAGCAAGCGGCAAGAGGCGGCCAGCGGACCAGCGGCCAGAGCTATTTCCCACGCCGATGATTTATTCCTATTTTCCAAAATAGGTTTGCCCCAAAATGTCACTTGCTGCAGACGGCTACCCCTCACAGGATGGGAACACCTTGGGGCCCCTGCCAGTGCTCCAAAACCAGGGGCTCCCCCTGAGCTCCCAGCACTGGGCGCTCACCCTGGGGTTCGCATGGGGAGCTGAGTTCTATGACCAAGAGGCGGGGTACACTCAAGGGTGACGCGGGAACGGGCCGCACCTGCACCAGCCGGAGGCTCATGGAGGCCAGCTGGGCCATGTGGCAAGGGGCAGGGTCAGTTCTGTTCGCCCTGTGGCTGCCCTCAGGCTGGGCATCGTGGAGACCAGGCTCAGAGGTGACCTGGGCAGGCTGGGAACAGACGTGCCAACTGCCCTCACTCCGAGCAGCTGTGACCATCACAGTGCAACACCCCACAGCTTCCAGGGAGTCATATGGCCCACAGGCAAAGGGGGAGCCGGGCGCTGCGCCCCAGGCCTACTAAGGAAGCAGCCTGGGTATTTCTACCAAATCCAGTCGCCTGGGCTCATTCAGGCTTCACAGGGGTGGGGGTGGGGGAGGAGTTTAGAAAGTCCCGGCCCGGGTTCATGCAGGTTTGGCCACCCAAAGGGAAAATGGCCAAACACATCCCCTCCTGGCCGACGGGTCGGAACCGGCTGAGAGCCAGGCCCAAGCAGTGAGGCCTCTGTGGGGTGCAGCGCTTCCGCTCCCCGGCTCCTGCTGGGAAGGCTCCCAGGCTCCCAGACCTCCAGGCAGGAGCCCCCCCGTTTCAGACACAATTCCGGAGCCGCTGCTCAGGCGGGTGGGTACACCGCGCTCCCAGGCGCTGGCGGAACCCCCATGGCGGAGCACCCCCATGGCGAGCGTCCCCAAGGCGGCGCCGCGGCGGCTCTCGGCCCGGGATGCTGATGCCGCCGGCCTGGGAGCGGCTGGGGCGCCTGGGGGCTGAACAGCCGCCCCGGTGACGGAACGTGCGGCCAAGTTTGCCAGCCTCTGGGCAGGAGGCAAAGTCACCTCGCCGGGCCCTCCCCTCCCGTCGCACCCGGGCAACGCCAAGTGCCCGGCCCACGCGGCCCCGGCTGGCAGACCACACGTTCGCTGCCTCTTCCCGCGGCGGCCGCGGG